CCCGAAGCCCACTTTTCCCCAGGAAGCTACAATTATCCCACAGCTTGTTTCAGATACAGGCATGAGTGACATGGACTGCAGTAGCAGTAACCTTGCTCCATTATATACCACCACCTCTACAACATGTAGGGCTGTGCAAACAGGGGTGCAGCTGGACCTCTTCCCCTTCTGCCTGCTCACAGCACTTACCCTGAACATAAAATTGGGGTAACAATGGCCATGCTGTAAATAGAGTAGGGTAACAGCAATTTCAACTGAAATAGCCCTGAGGTGTTTGCAATTATGCTGGCTATACTCTGGAATAGTGTGACATTTTTCTTCGTTCTGTTGACGAGTTCTAGCCTGGTATTTACTGACAGACATGGAGTTACAGGTGAATAAAACTGATGCAAATCCAACATAATGAAAAATTAAGCTATTAGTATTCTACTCAGACTATTTACAATCTAATTGCTATTTATTACTGTGACTGGTGTTTTTTTACATTGAGTCTTGTTAATGAATTGTTTTACATGCATCATTAACAAAACTTAGCTTTTCAAAATTAATTTAGGATTGTGCGTTGCTCAAATTTATTATTCATTAAAGTATGTAAAGCACCTCAAACACCTCCTTTACATGCATTCCCTAAACACACATAAATCATGTTAGCATATAAAAGCAATATGCAAATACATGTAACATAATTAGCACTTTTGTTGAAGTGTGTTTGTACTGTTCATACCTTACAATTGCAATTAAAAAAGTATAAAGTGCAATTAGAATCTGTCAGAACTAACAATACTATAACTGAATTCTATGTTATTAATAAGATTTACAACTATTAATACATTAACAACAGAATTGAAAATTCACAGGCTTTGAACCTCACTTGAGCCCAAGAATACGCTAGGTTATTTTTGGTAGTTAATTTTTAATCAGCTCCATGTCTTCACAAATTAGGCCAATTATTTTCAGTTAGCAGAAGATATTATTTATGAAAATATTTATTACTATTAACATTTGTAAGGATCTATTTCTTCATGATAGGCCTAAATGAACCCAAAGAGTTTCCATGTATGCAAATTACTTATTATCTCCATGGTTACATGAGCTAATAGACTGACGTTTTATATAAGGTGTATGCATCAGAACATTAATCTACTATTGAACAAAGCAGCAAATCTGTGTCTTTATGACTAAACATATGCTGTTGTTGGATGCTGGCAGTACAATCTGTTGTCACACATGAGAAACACCAAGAAATTCAGAGAGATGTGAGAAGCACAGTAGAGTGATGGATACAACCTGCTGTGGGTGAAGAGGTCCGAGTTCCCCAAAGTGCTCTCTCCAAGTCTTGCTTCTGAAACTGAAGCAATATAGCACATCACAGGCAATGGCTGCCCCCAGTGCCACTAATCATCCCCCTCAGTTTGAATTTAAAACTCTTCCACCCAACACTTTGCTGTGCACATCCTGAAGCTATGAAACTCATTTTCCTTCAAGTTACCTCTTGCCCGTCTTCAGAAAAGCATCCACATTCAGGAAGAGCATGTAACTGTAACTACACGTTTCACACTGGGTATATGTTCACTTTCCTGGCTTGGAATGTCCAGGGCTGTTTATCATTGCATGATTTCCCTAATAAAAATCATTATTTGCCCTTCCCATGTGGTTTCTTGGCATAGACACCAGACATTAACATGCCAGCACTTTGTTAATGAAGATTACTGCAATAACTGTTGTTAACTGGAATCTACATGTGTTGCCTTGTGCAGTTTCAGTCAGTGATTTAGAACTATTAGTTAAATTTGCAAGATGACATAAATATCAGTAAGGCCTAAAGGAATAACTACTGCCTCCCCATGGCAGTTAGATGTCAGGTTTTTGACAGTAACTAGATAACTGCTATATTCTCCAAAAACACCTTATGTATTTCTGAAAATGCCCCGGAGTTCCCATTACTACATCTAGGCTTCCTAATAGTCCTAATTCCCCCAGAAATGTATTTGAAAACAAATTCTAAATACTTATTTGTGAAATAAAGGATTTTTATTTGACTTTTTCAAAATTTCCCCTGGCAATTTAATATTAATTAAAATCTGTTGAGCCATATGGTGACTCTTCTTTCTTTTAACAAACATTATGACTTTTACATTTTCTACCCTCATTTCTCCCGTTTCTGCCATAACAAACAACATAGCTCAGAGAACTCGTAGCACAAAGACATCAGTGATTCAAACACTAATGCAGCCACACAGACAGGCCAAAAGGGACCACAACAGAAAAAATGTTTTTAAAGCATTTAGGCAAGTAAACCTTTGGTGATTAAATACGCCCTGTAACAAAACAGACCTTCACATCCACAAATAGAGCAGAGTCACAGACAGCACGGGTCCTGGCACTCATCTCTTTCTAAGCTGTAAAGATCTTACCTTTATATTTATATTTATGTTACAAAATTGCACATTAATGCTTTTTGTCCCATCCACCATCACATTTCTTAAATTGTACTCCAACTGAGCAATAAATATCATGTATCGATTCCAGATTAGAACTAGCTGGAGAGATAATTGATCTCACAGAAGCTTCTTCTAGTAAAGAGATAGAGCAAAGAGAGAACTTATGCTTGTGAAAGCACAGCACTGTGTGTGCATGCGAGTATGGCTTGCACTGGAAGATATTTAAAGCACAGCTTCTGAAGAAAAAAACACTACATCCATCTATCTATGCATAATTTCCATGTCTCCACTGCACAACTGCTGCTCTGCCAGCCACCTTACTGACCTGTGCCAAGTGATTTAGCCCTCTGCTAAGGAAAAAGGTAAAAGCTAGATCTACCTGGCTTTACTGGATCAGCCAGACCCTGCCAAACTGTGGCATCAGCATGTCAGTGCATCAAAAAATTGTGAGATGAATGCACTTGCTTCTGATGCATTAGGAAAAATGGCTATTCTGACACACACTATACTATAAAATCTCATCTCTAGCATTTGAATTTTGCCAAATTCTACCAATGTTTGTCCCCACCCACAAATAACATTGCATGAATTCATTCCTGAATTAATAATTATTCTACTATAAGTGTACTTTTTCCTACACTGTCGGAAAAAATTGACTCACAATGCATATAGTTCAGTTCAGAAAAAATAGATACTGCTACATAGTGGTGTTGACAAATGTATCCCAGCTTCCCCCTCAGAAAAACAAAAGTGCCCTGTACTTAAAACAACAACAAAAAAGAAATCGTCACATGCCTTGAAAACACTTAGCGAGTGTAAAAAACTTGCCCACTGACCCAGGAAAGGATAATCTGGACCTACTATATTCAGAGTGAAAAAGTGTACCTTCAAGATTACTTAAAGCTTAAGAGCCTAATGCATTTCTGTTCAACAAACGGCAAAGGCACCAAGGCTTCAAGTTTAACTAGGACTTACTTTTTCTCGTCTAGACCGAGACTTCCTTCTAAATTGAGCACTAAGCAAGCCAAATACTTAGAGCTGAAAAATCTCTGTTCCATATTTTATACCTTAAGTGAAACCACAATAATTCAAATCTGATATTTTCATCTATGTAAGTGCAGCCACCTTTTGTATTATACACTGAAGTTTTACAGTAAGATATGTCTAAAACATGTATGGACAATCCCAAAGAAGTATTTTAAGCTCATCAGCTCTTAATTGAGGTTTTCAAAGCAGCTTAAGGGATTTAGACAAAACATATTCATTTCTTATTTCCCTTTGTCACCAACACATGGCTAAACTAGGCTGTTCTGAGAATCTCAGTGAGCTGGATGCATATTCATTGCATGTAACAGAACTGTCATTCTTGCTGTCTATAGAAAAAATAAAACTCTCAAGCTTAGGCAAAAAAATTAATTGGCTAGATTCTGCTTGTACCATCATTGACAACTTTACAAACTTGTGTTCTGCAAAACCTCATTTTTTAAATCTGAATAGAACACTTCAGAAAAGCGTATTTAGCTGAAACAAGAGCTGTGATGACACACATGCTGGTTTCAGGAATAAGAGATCTATTTTGTATAGCTCTAGTACTGGAACGTGCTTAATGCTGGATTGTTCTGGTCAATCAAAAGCATCATAAAGTTTTCTGTAGTTTCATAGTAAGACTTGCAAGCTCAGAGCCACAAAATTGTAGCATCCAGCAAGTTCCAGACACTAGTTGTTTTCTGTACTACTGAATATAGATAAATATAGGTGGGACAGCAATTTGCAATGAAACTGAAGCAGCTGCTGGTTTTAGCAGAGGGTAAGTTTAAGGTTTCAGATGGGGAAAGGAGAAAAACTGGATCCAATATGATGTAGGTGTTGGTTTCAGGATTTAGCCAGGCCTGCTGTGCCAGTTTACAATGTCAGAATTTTGCACGTATAGGCTATTATCAGCATTTTTCCTACGTGACATCATCTTTGCTAAGCGTTGAAAAACATGACGAGGCATATTACTAAAATTCCATTTAATTATGTCTGTAACCTCAACATCCCTCTCGTTCTGCAATGCCAAACTTTTCCAGCGCTGCAGGGAGCAGCCAGCAGCCCTCTTCCAGCTGCAGCAGCGATGAGGAAGGGCTGGGAACAGGGCACAGCTGGCACCAGGTTTGGAGACAAACCATTCCGTGGGATGCACCCGACCCCTCTCTTTCCACGAGAGGAGGCAAAACTCCAGGAGGCCTCGTGTGCCCGATCCAGGTTTTGCTGTGCCCTGGCTCTGGGACACTCAGGTTTTTCTGTTCTTCTGACTACTATTTATTTATTTATTCGTTTTAAATTGCTGCAGCGGAAGCCGCCAGCCCGTGCGGGTTGGCTGAGCCAGGGGACCGCGGCTCTCTCGGGACCCCGGCAGGGCTCCGCCCGGTGGCCGCGGGGCTCCGCGCGTTCCCTGGATACTGCGCGCTCCCTCTGCGGAGGGAGGGAGGGAGGAAGGGAAGGAGGAGAGAAAAAAGAGGGAGGAGAGAAAGGAGGGGGAAGGGAAGGAAGAGAGAGGAAACGGAGAGAGGGAGGGAGCCTGGGGCTGTCTCCGGAGGCGGGGGGGAGCCGCGGGCCAGGGCCGGCAGGCCGGTCCGGCTGGCAGCGGGACAAGGTGAGGCCCGCCAGCGGGCGGCCCCGCTCCGCTCCGCCCCGCGGCGCTCCCCACCCGGCAGCCCCGCCGCCGCCGCCGCCCGGCTCCGGCCCGCCTCCCCTCAGCACCCCGCGAGGAACAGCTCCTTTGCAGTTTGCAGCACCGCATTAAACAGGGAGAGCGAGGGAGAGAGGAGGGAAGGAAGCAGCCCGCAGCGCTGGGTTACGGAAAGCGGTAAAGGCGCTTCCAGGACAAACTGAATAATTTGCAAAAAATAGATCCTTCATCAGGGTTAGGCGCTTTTTTGGTTTTGGTTGTTTTGTGTTTTTTTTTTTTTTTTCCTTTCCTTTAGCCGTGCAAATAGAAGTGCCCCTGCCCCAGCGTACAGCCAACCTGTCGGCCTGAGGGGCACCTGAGCCAGCCGAAGCAGAATGTACCAGGGACACATGCAGGTAAGAGACTGCAAGAGGGTGGAGAGGTGAAGCCCGCTGAAACGAGATTCTGTGAAGTTTCTGTGGGTTGAGCAGAGGGGAGATGCCACCCCGGCACCGTGCAACAAGTGAGCTGGTGCAGTATGAAGATGGCACTCCAACTCGGGGCAGAAGGGAAGAGTATGCCTAGGGCTAGCTCTGCTCAAGGGGGCGGAGGGAAAAGGGGTTCTATCAACTTTGTAACTGGTAAAGTTTTGTGTATATGTATACGTTTGTTATGCCTGCTTGTTCAAACAGATTCAAGGGAGCATTCCAGGGCAAACAGTGTTATGGCATGTTTTAAGTGACATATGTCTCCTACCATCCTCTTGATGCATCTCTTCCTGTATGTCAAGTGAAGGGCAAACAATAAGGGATAAAACAGAGCACTTGCTTTGCAAAATCTGCAAAGATTTCATGCCACACTAAAGCCATTGATTTGCACAGTGTGGCGTGTTTAAAGGTGATGGATTTCTGTTCTTCCCTCCCAACATGGGATGAGGATCGATTTTGCTGAGCCCTGGAATGACTTTGTAGAATTAATTAAAACACATTTCTGACTGACTTCAACATTTTATACCAAAATCTTGTCTCATGATCCTACTGATCTGTATCACTGTAACAGAAAATGCCTCTCCCTGATAAAAACATAGTAGTGGCTTGGACGTGATGACTTTAACCTTGAGTCCCACTCTCCTTCACATAGCTCTTTGGAAAGCCAAGTCTGTTTTGAAGGGGGAGGAAATGCCAAACTGAAGTAAAGGTTTACACTAGTCTCCCAAATTCATTCCTCTGCTCTCGAACCCAGTCTGGCTTTGTGTTCATTACCAGGAATGATCAAATGCTTTTATCATGTACAGTGGCAGCCTCACATGTAGCGTTGTTAGTCTTAAGGTTGCTTACAGAGAACCTGCGGGTTTAGTAAGTGTAAGCTGACCACTTCTCCTTGGTGTGACTCTGCCCAGTATTGCAATATCTGCTGAATGGTCATCAGGGACATTAAACTTAAGTCAATGTCAAACACAGGGTTGTGTACAATATGTGAGTTAAGTGAGGACTCTGATTCAGCACTCTGCTTTCTAGAACTGAGTGATATGAGTTACTTTTTCATGTTTGTGTTACCTGATCTCAACAATGATAAACAACATGTCATAATACTGCTTGTGGTAGGAAAGCAAACAGGTTTTAACAAGAAATGTAATCAATAGAAGGAGAATATGTATGGCTATATAGTTCTGATTATAAGGTTCAAGAATGCATTGTTTATATGGTAACAGAAACAATCCTATAACTAATGATACTGACTTGGACGTTGCAAATAGGTATTTCTATTGCTAAGAAAACAGAAGTTCTTTGCTATAAGTTATATATTGCAAGGTTTCAACAAACACACAACACTTTTTAGAAGGAATTGTAATTTAATATTGAGCTGTCTGGCAGCACCCTAAATTTTCTGAGTCATTAAAAAGTTGAAATCAAATTTGCAATAGGGAAATCAGGTCAAAACATACAAACACTTTGTGATTGATGTCCTTTAATTCTTTCAAAACATTTTTGTTATTTTTCTAGCCCAAATGTCATCAAATTCTAACCAAATTCTCTTTATAAATTTGATGAATTAAAAATGCTATTCATATTGAGTACACTTCTTTAAAAAAAAACCCACCTGAGTTTATCAACCAAACTTTTTAATATACTTCTGTCCTAACAGGAAGCATTAATGTTCTTCAGCTAACACTTAAAAATAACTAAAGCATTAGGAAAGATTTTCATGTTTACTAGAGCCTTAACTAGAGCCTTTAAGTGAGTGGAACAAAACCAATGCAGAGCTGATTTCTTTGCAGTGAAATAATCCACTGTAATGTTTACTAAATCATTTTGGAACACAAACTATTGATGTTACCATAAAAGTACAGTATCAAACCACACACTAACAAAAATGTAGGCACATATATGCATTATGGGTCCTTTCTTACTATCTCCAAGAGTTCTGGTAAGACATGTATTAACTTGGGGGAAACGGTTTGCAATTACCTGCCAATCTAAAATAAGGTGAACCTTTTTAAGTCAGGCTTTATAAGTCAGGCATCTAAGTACCTGGAGTCCCAAACAAAAATAATCTTGTTTTTAAAGAAACTGAGCACTCATACAGCTCCCACTTCCTTAAGTGAAACTAGAATGTTTAGCTGGGCCCTATCTGGCTACTTAAGCATCTACCTTCACACATTCAAATGTCAAATGATGTTCCAGTAGATAACACCTGACCCTACACTCTTTAAAGCAAAAGCTCTGATGGTTATAGTGATCAAATGTAGAATATGATTTAGAATGCCAGCTGTCATTTCCCTTTTTCCTACTGCTTTGTTCTCAGACATAAAAGTAAAATATGCAGAAATAGTTCCTTAGTCAGATTACTTTAAAAGATGTTTACAGAGCCCATGTTTTACTAAGACCCTGCTGTAACTCAGGTAATTCTTGGAAGACTTCTGTGAGAACATTAACAACCATAACTACATAATAAGCGTAACTATAGAGACTATAGAGAATTTACCTATCTTGAATAGGCAGCAAGCATTATCAGCTTCAGTGGGGAATTTCTGACTAAGCTCAATAAACTCTGCACATGTAGATGAAATACATTTTGCATTTAAGCACCGCTGAAGTCCAGCACCTAAAGTACTTTACTATGTCAGGCTTTACTACCTACATCAGTATGTGTATCTCGATTTTTAGGTTGCAGCACAGATTAGTTGTGATTATTTTTCTTAATCCCAGAAAAAAACTTAATTTATTCAAAAGACCTAGGTTGTGATTTCCCTCTTGCTGTTTTATAAATGAATCGTTACAACATAGAAACACTAGAGAGGTCCCTAAGCTAAAATTCCAAAGACAGTTTCAAAAAAAAAAAAGAAAAGGAAAAAAGAAATGAAAGAACTTACTGGTTCAAAGCACTGTCTTACTGCCTTTACATTTCCACACACCTTTCTACAGAGCTAGCTTTTGTATTATTTATGCACAGCATGCTTTCACATAAAATACTAGGAAAAAGGTGAAGTGGCCTTCCAAAGAGCCAGAAATAGGATGCATGAAAGCACAGTGCCATAGGAGCCTTTTTAAAGCTATTTCACTATCATAATAAGCATAAGCATTTGATTTAACTGTATTTACTAACCAGGTCGGTTGACACAGTAACTGTTTAAAACGTAGCAGGGACTGGCATCGGTTTCAAGGTACGTAGCCACTTCCTGAAGCCTGTGCCTTTAAGGTGAGGCTTCTGCATGAGAAAGAACTTCAGATGAGACGTGCAGACTATTTGCCTACAAATGTACAACTTCAGTTATGTAAGGAGTCCTGTTTAATTCAGTAAACTCAGGCTACAACAGGATAAAACCTGATGGATACAGGAGCACACCCTAGGATTACCCAGATATAGCAAAAAACCTGAGCGTAAATCAGTGTAAATAGGACAGTATGTGCAATCCAATGTGTGCTGGTTTCCATCTTCTTCAAGGAAAGAGTAGCAGACCAGATGGAAGCAAAATATAAGCAGAGTTCATCCCACAGTCACTGTTCTAAAATGTCTATAATTTTAACAACCAACAGTAAGATGCTTTCAGTTTTTTACAGTATATTATATACCTGGTATACAATATACTTTTATGATGGTTCTATAAATGGATGGAGAGTAAATTAAAATCACAGAATGGGATTTTTAGCAGCATTTGGGTTACCAGGAAATTCAAAATAAATGCTTTCAAAACTGTTTGCCTTAATGCGGTATATAGTCAGCTTTCTCCAGCACCAATGCTTGAACAGAAGTGCTTCACCAAATGTTGTCATGGGATTTTACGTATGGCAGTGTTATGTTTCAAGGTGGCTTAATTTAGACAAAGCAGAAATGTTGACCACACATGGCTATCGGAGTTCCCCTGGCACTTTTTCACAAGAACAGACTTGTTAATCATGATGTTTTGGCCAAGTTCCAGGTTGGGTAGTCTCCTAAACTTTTAATTGCATAGGCAATCAACATCATGCCCTTAATTGTTGTGCTGTGTTCTTTATTATTAAAGATAATTTAACATTCCGCTATTGGCATTTCATATTTACATTAAATGATCCATATTAATGATTCATGTTTCAGTGGGATTTTGGTTAAACTCAAACCTATATGATTGTAGTCTGTGTAAAGAAAAATAACTATGTACATATGAAAATTCTGCAAGATGAAACCTCAAGGGCTTCACATGTTGTAGTGGGCCTGAAAAGTGTTGCTAAATATTTTAGAGTTAGAAAAAGCATTTTTGCGTTGAATTCCCAACACTTAAAACACAGCTGACTCACTGGGAGAAGTGAAGCAAAACTGTCTCGAGATCAGCTGTAGATGCATGTCCCATCTTTGCTTATTTGATAACCTATTAAAAATACTTTAATAGTGTTGGTTACACTGCCACCTGAAATAAACAAACCTCAAGCTATTAATCAATTAAAAATAAAAATTAATCTCTCAACTATACATTTTGATGTGAATATGCATTATATGTGAATAAAACATCACAAAGAACATGAACAACAAAACTCAATTCAATGCTAAATTGAATTTTTGCTCAGCTGTTAAGATCAACATAAGCTTGATAATTTTAAGATACAAGATTCTAAAAATCTGGGCACATAGCTGGAATTCTAATTGATTCCTAGTGGTGTCAATGAATGATAAATGCTAGCTGAAATTCCATTACCATAAACTGATTATTTTTCATTATTATAAGCCTTTTCCAAAAGTACCCACAATATGAGGACAGTGCTTACAGTGGTGTGTTTTCCATTTTGTCTTGATATTTACCAGTTATTCACTAGTAGTTTTTCAAGTTTTGAACAGTAGATTATGAACTACTTATAAATGAAATAAGCTAAAAATAATCAGCTCACTTTCATTGAGAGAAGTTCATTCAAAGAAAGTAGGTGACAAAGTGCTTTTGGCTAAG